CAGCCGGCCTGACTTCCCATCCCCAGCTCAAGATCCATCAGGGAGCAGGAGGCAGTCCAGTGGGGCTGCTTCCCGGTGCCCTGTGCTAGATCGCACCGGGGGCTGTCCCAGCTGCCTGCAGTGGGTCGGTTTGGGATTGAGAGAGTGGTCGGGGTGAAAAGGTAAGCGAGGCTTATTGATCTAACAAACACATAATTACGCAAAGCTTAACAACACAAGGAAGACAGATAGTAAATCTCCGAGTCGGCAACTTATCGGCAGTCCCCTTTTATGCCTTGTATATGACAAGCCTCTCGAAATCCAGCAAAGTCAAGCGTCCCCAATCTACGCTGTCCAAAGGGGTACCGGGAAGGACCCTGGTATTCAGTTTTCAGGCTTCTCAGGACCCACCGCCCCGCCAACATCCAGGTCCGTGGCTTCTCTTTCACAATGATAGCTTCCTTTACTACGCCGCTTTCCTTCAGCTGATTTCTGGGTGCGCCAGCAAATTTATAGAATTTTTTGAGCTAGCTGTTGGCTTGCAGCCAATTATAATTCTATACTACAAACTTTTCTTATATGAGTAACCAATAGCAGTACAAGCCTTTGCATTTTCCTTATATGATTAATTTTAGCTGTGCCATTGCTAATGAAGGTGACTTTAAGCTATGGCAAAATGCATTAACAAAATACAGGAAATGCTTAACCACAACGGCTTCTTTTTACACTCTTTCTTCTAGCTATAAGCATTCCTCAATACATAGATAAGCAGCAGAAAACCAGGTTTAACTCTCTGAATGCTGCTTTAGCTGTCACAGGATGCCTCAGCAAGCACTCTTTTAAGCAGACACTATTTTGCTGTCAAGAGACATGACCAAGTCACTGCCACAGGGGGCGGGAGACAGCCCAGTGGGGCTGCTTCCTCGACCCCCCTCGCTTGATCGCACTTGGGGCAGGAGGCAATCCAGAGGGGCTGCTGCCCTGACCCCTGCGCTTGATTGCACCAGGGGTGCGAGGCAACCCAGCGGGGCTGCTTCCCCAACCTCCGTGCTTCACTGCCCCCAGCATGATCAAGCACAGGTGTCAGGGAAGCAGGCCAGCTGGGAGATCTAGCGCTGAGGATGGGAAGTCAGCCCAGTTAATCTGACTCCCCATCCCCAGCGAAACTCGAAACCGAGCCTTTCTGTTTCAACAGAACAAAATAGAACAGCTGTTTCAACTGAAATGAAATTTGCGACGAAACACTGTTCCGTCAAACTGTCGAAGCTCAAGGTGAAGCAGAATGGTGCCGTTTCACACAGCCCTACAAATTAGTTCTGTACCTTCCCTGTCCCACCTGCTACTCTGCTTTCTGCCCTATTTGCTACCGTGATGCTTGTCTCCTCCTCAATCTGCCATGTGCCATACATGGAGGCTTCCTGTGCCACAGGTTGACCATCCTTGTTTTAGCCTACAGTACAGGCAGGAGAGAGGAGGGTTTAAGGAGTAATCTGGGCAAAAAATTGCTTGATGGATTAATAACATCTGTGGGGGCTCTGAATTACAATGTAACCAGGCTTAATTAGGTGTTAACACACAGACACACTCACAGTGTTCCAGTACAGAAGAGCAGTCAGGCCTACTGCCATTTAAGCAGTGCCTTGAATATATAAATGAAGAGAGAATCTGACAAATTGTTTGCGTTTGCCACACTATAAATTGCTGCCCATGTTCCCTGGGGGCATCTTAATTGGCTTACACAGCACTTTAAATCAGTGTCCTCTGACATGCATGTAATTGTGGTGGCATGACTTGTTACCTCCTGCCAGGAGAGAGAGATGTCATGTCTGTCTGCAGGAGTAGGAGACTGCAGAAAAGTCACCAGCCAAGCATGCAAGTTACTAGAGTCCTCCAATTTTTAGGTATTTCATTAATGAACAGAGAGATGTCCAGCTGTCTGACTGCTCCACTATGTACTTTCTCAGAACATCCTGACTCTTTCTTCTTTAAACAAATACTGATATTCATTGAATTCACTAGTTCATTGCTGGTTAGTGATATTAGTGATGTCATAGGTACTCATTACATCATACCTAAAAGGGACCTAGGTGCTATAGGCGTATATTGAAGATTGGTACTTGCTCAGAATGCTGGTAAATTAAGATAGACTAGGGGTGTAATACATATGGCCCAGGGGTTGGATCCAGCCTGCACAGCCATTCTGTCCAGAATTTGTAATGCAGGACCAAGTGGATTTAGTTCCCTGCAGAATTTGGGGCCACTGGACCCTGATGGACGTGGCCGTCAGTGGCAGTGGGTCAAGCAAGGACTGTGAAGATATAAACCTTGCTTGCCCTGTGGTAGCTGAAACCCCACCACTGCCCCAGACCCTGCTGCTGCTGCAATGCTGGACCCATGGCCACTGGACCCCCCAAATCCTGCTGCCACTAGACCCTTGCCACAGCTGTTGCTGGTTCCACAGAGCCATACTGGAAGGAGTACTGCAGTCTGGATCCAGCCTGGAGTCCAGGATGACTTTGATTTCCTTCAGATAGACAAAGTACAGAAGGGAGAAAGGAGGCTTACACTTCAAAGTTTGCTCCCTCCTACCCATCCAGCCTCAAAAGCAGCCTTGGCCTGATTTTCAGATGTGCTCAGCACCCACAAATCCCGTTGCAATAAAGAGAGCTGTAGGAGCATAGCACAGAGGTGCCAGAGGACTGGAAAAGGGCCAATGTGGTTCCCATTTTCAAAAAAGGGAGGAAGGAGGACCCAGGTAACTATAGGCCAGTTAGTCTTACCTCAATCCTGGGTAAGCTTTTTGAGAGAATTATCCTGGCGCATGTCCACGAGGAGCTAGCAGGGTTGGTTTTGCTTAGGGGCAACCAAAATGGGTTCATTAGAGGCAGGTCCTGTCAGACCAGCCTGGTGGCCTTCTACGACCAGGTCACAAAGTCCTTAGATGCCAGGGTAGCAGTGGACGTAGCCTTTCTGGACTTCAGGAAGGCCTTCGACACTCTCGCTCACTCCATCCTCATTAAAAAACTAGGGGACTGTGACGTCGACACCTACATAGTCAGATGGATCACTAATTGGCTGGAGGGCCGCACCCAGACAGTGGTGGTGGATGGGTCATTTTCAACCTGGAGGGATGTGGGCAGTGGGGTCCCCCAGGGCTCGGTCCTTGGACCCGCGCTGTTCAACATCTTCATCAGTGACTTGGACGTGAGGGTAAAAAGCACCCTGCTCAAATTCGCAGACGACACTAAGATGTGGGGAGAAGTGGGCATGCTAGAAGGAAGGAATAAGCTGCAATCGGACCTGGACAGGTTATAGGAGTGGGCGGATGAGAACAGGATGGGTTTCAACACTGACAAGTGCAAGGTGCTGCACCTGGGGAGGAAGAACCAGCAGCAGACCTACAGGCTGGGGAACTCCCTTCTCATCAGCACAGAGGCAGAAAAGGATCTTGAAGTCATTACTGATGCCAAAATGAACATGGGCCGACAGTGGGGACACGGTCAGGAAGGCCAACCACACCTTGTCGTGCATCCACAGATGCATCTCAAGCAGGTCCGAGGAGGTGATCCTCTCCCTCTATGCGACGCTGGTCAGGACGCAGTTGGAGTACTGCGTCCAGTTCTGGGCGCCGCACTTCAGGAGGGATGTGGACAGCATGGAGAGGGTTCAGAAGAGGGCCACCCGCATGATCAGGGGGCAGCAGGGCAGGCCCTATGAGGAGAGGCTAAGGGACCTGAACCTGTTCAGCCTCTACAAGAGAAGGCTGAGTGGGGATCTAGTGGCTGTTTACAAACTAGTCAGGGGGGACCAGCAGACACTGGGGGAGTCCCTGTTCCCCCGAGCACTACCAGGAGTGACTAGAAATAATGGTCACAAGCTGGCAGATTGTAGCTTC